AAAAAATATATAAAACAAAAATTACAAAGTATTGAAAATATCTGATAAAAAGAGAAAAATGATAATCAGAGTGCTTTCGTAAGTAAAGTGTACTTCGCAAGCACAGTGGGTTTCTTGTTTAATTATTAACGTTTTGTAAGTAAAGTGTACTTCGCAAGCACAGTGGGTTTCTTGTTTGGTTATTAATGTTTTGAAAGTTAAGTGTACTTCGCAAGCACCATGGGTTTCTTGTTTAATTATTGATGTTTTGTAAGTAAAGTGTACTTCGCAAGCACTGTGGGTTTCTTGTTTAATTATTAATGTTTTGTAAGTAAAGTGTACTTCCCAAGCACAGTGGGTTTCTTGTTTAATTATTAATGTTTAAGTAAAGTGTACTTCGCAAGCACAGTGGGTTTCTTGTTTAATTATTAATGTTTTGTAAGTAAAGTGTACTTCCCAAGCTCAGTGGGTTTCTTGTTTGATTATTAATGTTTTGTAAGTAAAGTGTACTTCGCAAGCACCATGGGTTTCTTGTTTAGTGATTAATGTTTTGTAAATAAAGTGTACTTCCCAAGCACAGTGGGTTTCTTGTTTAATTATTAATGTTTAAGTAAAGTGTACTTCACAAGCACAGTAGGTTTCTTGTTTAATTATTAATGTTTTGTAAGTAAAGTGTACTTCCCAAGCACAGTGGGTTTCTTGTTTAATTATTAATGTTTAAGTAAAGTGTACTTCGCAAGCACAGTGGGTTTCTTGTTTAATTATTAATGTTTTGTAAGTAAAGTGTACTTCCCAAGCTCAGTGGGTTTCTTGTTTGATTATTAATGTTTTGTAAGTAAAGTGTACTTCGCAAGCACCATGGGTTTCTTGTTTAGTGATTAATGTTTTGTAAATAAAGTGTACTTCGCAAGCACAGTGGGTTTCTTGTTTAATTATTAATGTTTTGTAAGTAAAGTGTACTTTGCAAACACCATGGGTTTCTTGTTTAGTGATTAATGTTTTGTAAGTAAAGTGTACTTTGCAAGCACAGTGGGTTTCTTGTTTAATTATTAATGTTTTGTAAGTAAAGTGTACTTTGCAAGCACAGTGGGTTTCTTGTTTAATTATTAATGTTTTGTAAGTAAAGTGTACTTCGTAAGCACTGTGGGTTTCTTGTTTAATTATTAACGTTTTGTAAGTAAAGTGTACTTCGCAAGCACAGTGGGTTTCTTTTTTGGTGATTAATGTTTTGTAAGTAAAATGTACTTCACAAGCACCGTAGGTTTCTTGTTTAGTGATTAATGATTTAGTTGTATATGACTTCTTAGTATCACCAATAATACTGATAATAGTTTTACTTCTAATTTCATGAAAGACAGGACTGAACTAATACTTTAAAGGACTCACACATGCTATGCACCAACCTTTCTTGGCCTCAGTACTGTCCTAGCTTTGGCCGTTTCTCTGGAAGCTTCTAATGTTACATCACGTCTCGTGTTACGATCAAAGATCCGGAAGAAGTTATTGTATGACCCTGTGATTATACAACTGAAACAAAGAGGGAAATCGCATCAGGCATGGAACTTTGTTAGATACTGATGGACGTGAAATTATTTTTTTAAAACCTTTCACACATAATTGTAATGAAGTTAACACTATACAGAAGAGAAAACATTCTAGAAATTAATAGAATATCAGTTCATTACACCTTTTATTTTCACAACATATCAGAACTTACATGAGTTTATTACAGGTTTTTACCGGTTCCTTCTTTTCAACGTCAGGTCATCAGGGCAGAATAAACATTTGGAACTAAAATTATCTTGTCTGTTCAATATTCACATTTATTAAATGTATGAATAACTCAAAGTTTTTTTAATGACCAAAACGTTATGGTCAACAATACACTACATAAACTAACATCTAACGATGCTGATTCAGTCAATCTTACACACTTTTGATGTAGGTACCTTTAACCAGGTAAATACAATAATCATACATTTAATTAATTTAGAAAGTTTTTATTCAATTACTTATGTTACTGACTTCCATGTTCATGTATCCCCCTAAAGAATTTCAAATAAAATATCTAACCCTACGATCTAGAGCCTCTTAAAGTACACATGTCATTACCTTTTAATTATGATAGTTACATTTAAAATTTAACTAAATAACTTTATTATCAATACACGTTAATAAACTTGGCATTAAATGCAGTGTATAATTCAAAGTTTTATATTATCCAAGTTTTAATTTCTTAAATTCAATAAATTCTCAATCTCCACTTCTAATTGTCCATCTTATATTTTCTCTATCACTTATTACAGGTTTCAGAGTGTCCAATCAATCAGAAACAGAAACTATAGATACTGACAGGTCAGAATACAAAATAAGAACTTCCTACCTTGATTTACTAAGATATTAATAGATTTATCACTCCCATCAGAAAAGTTCATTTCTTCATGCTTTTAAAGCCACTTACTTACAATCACACCTACAAGTCACGTAGATGTGTTTGTAAACAATAGAAAGAACTACATACATCTTATGATATATATTTTTAGTGGTCAAAGCTGGTAGTTTTCAAAGAAAGCTTGAAATGTTTAAAGTTGTTGCTTTAATTAGTTATGGAATTTTTTGAACCTATTTATAGCTTAGTCAAAAAAAAAAAACCTGATAAATTTTAGTAGTTTTGGGACATTCTATTCTAGTGTCTGATATAATGTGTTCCAAAATGTTTATTTGAAGAGGTAACTTTGTGAGAAAAAGTAAGGCCCAGCATAAATAAGGTTTTTACTCACACAGGTCATGCACATTGCTCATGATGTTTATAATACGTGTTAATGATCTACTGCAAATGTTTTTATAATAGCTGTTTACCATCTACTGCCAATATTTTTATAAGCTGTTAACGATCTACTGCCGATGTTTATAATAGATGTTAATGATCTACTGCCAATGTTTATAATAACTGTTTATGATATACTGCCAATGTTTATAATAACTGTTTATGATCTACTGCCAATGTTTATAATAGCTGTTAATGATGTGCTGTCAGTGTATATAATAGCTGTTAATGATCTACTGCCAATGTTTATAACAGCCATTAATGATCTACTGTTGATGTTTATAATAGCTGTTAACGATCTACTGCCAATGTTTATAATAGCTGTTAACAATCTACTGTCGATGTTTATAATAGCTGTTAATGATCTACTGTCGATGTTTATAATAGCTGTTAACGATCTACTGCCAATGTTTATAATAGCTGTTAACACTCTACTGTCGATGTTTATAATAGCTGTTAACAATCTACTCCCAATGTTTATAATAGCTGTTAATGATCTACTGTCAAATTAACAGCTATTATAAACATATTATAAACATTGACAGTAGATCCATGTTAACGATCTACTGTCAATGTTTATAATAGCTGTTTACGATCTACTGTCGATGTTTATAATAGCTGTTTACGATCTACTGTCGATGTTTATAATAGCTGTTCATGATCTACTGTTGATGTTTATAATAGCTGTTAATGATCTACTGTTGATGTTTATAATAGCTGTTAACGATCTACTGTCAATATTTATAATAGCTGTTTACGATCTACTGTCGATGTTTATAATAGTTGTTAATGATCTACTATCGATGTTTATAATAGCTGTTAATGATCTACTGTTGATGTTTATAATAGCTGTTAACGATCTACTGTCAATATTTATAATAGCTGTTTACGATCTACTGTCGATGTTTATAATAGTTGTTAATGATCTACTATCGATGTTTATAATAGCTGTTAATGATCTACTGTTGATGTTTATAATAGCTGTTAATGATCTACTGTTGATGTTTATAATAGCTGTTAATGATCTACTGTCAATGTTTATAATACATGTCAACGATCTACT